TCAGATGCATAGAAGCCATTGAAAATATCATGGCTTGGATCAGGAACATCTTAGTCTTTAAACTGAAAGTCTTGCCCTGAAGCGCGTTAGAAATGTCTTTGACAGCAGATTTGCCCAGTGTCATGCATCTTCTGATCTTGACTGCTGCCGCTGTAGGTGGTGATGTGGATTCATTTAAAATAAAATCGTAGACAACGTCAGTCGGCTCTCCATCTGTAACAAGGTTGCCTAGTGTTCCAGTAGTGGTGGTTTGTGTGTCTTGATGCCAAGACATGATTCATACTAAAGTTTGACCTCTTTGATTTTATCCAGTAAGTGCTTCAAGTTTTCTTCACTTCTGCAGGCAGGATTGTGTCATCAGCCTAAAAATTCAGGTTGTTGGTGAGTTTTCCTCCAATCCTGACCACATTCTTCATATAGTCCAGTTTCTGGTGTAGACTTATCTTTTTTTAACTCATGAAGATAAACAAAGATTGCTTTTAAGACTTCAGGGACTATTTTTGCTTTAAGTTTTAGGATGACCTCAGGCCAAGAGTTTCAGGGATTCCTCCAGCCTCCAAGACACCCCAAATTCTGCAGTCCAGGAGAACATGAAATTCTGTCCTTTATTCTTCCCTTTTTGATCAGAATTCTTATGTAAAATTTTTGGTCAAAATGTTCAGTAGTGGTCATCTTGCCCTTGTGAAATGTGAATGGAGTCTGTTTTGAAATCTCTCTGACCCTCAGTTTACCCACCTGGAAAATGGGCCATTCTTGCAGGTTTACTGAGAAAAACTATTGAGGTGAAAAAGCAGTGCTTTATAAATAGAAGGTACATAAAATATATATTTATATAAGGGTGCAATTTTGAAAAACTAGGGAGCTCTGGTAGCCTAGTGGTAAGAAGCTGCACTGCAACCCTAAAGGCACTTGGTTCAAATCCACCAGATGCTCTCCCAGAGAAGGATGGGCACTCTCCTGCTGAAAACTTTCTCTCAAAACCTGCTGGAGGGTCAGGTTTGGCATGCAACAACAATAATTATTAAAAACTAAGGAAATATCTATGCACAGATAGAATAATTCCTGGGTGGTTACCAGGAACAGAAGGAAGAATAGAATAAAAGATGGTAAACTGATAACTGACAATATTAGGATGGGTGCAGGGAAAGCCAACAAAGGGGTAACCAGCAGACCACCACTAAAAGATGCACAGATTTTATAGAAGGATCAATGGGAACAGGACACAGGGCGACTCCGCAAGGCCATCTTGTCAGAACCAACTCACAGCTGACCCTCTACTGGGTTTCTGAAGCCGTAAATCGCACAGAAGATGGTACAGGTTTTTCTCCTGTGGAGCAGCGGGGGGCCTAATCTGTAAGGCTTTGTGCTGCTAACTCTGGACTGTGCCTCTGCTGGGGAACGCAGGGGGGGGGGGGAAGTGGCAGTGGTGTTAGGTGCCTTCCAGTCGCCCACGGCTCATAGCGAGCCTGCCATCTGAACCCTGTCCTGTGCCGTCCTCATCAGCCTTGCCACACTCGAGCCGATGCCACAGTCACTGTGTCAGTCCATCCTGCTGACAGTCTTTCTCTCCGCCACTGAACCTCTGCTTGCCCAGTATGCTGTCCTTTTCCAAGGACTGGACCCTCCTAACAACACGCCCATTTTATTGTAGGGGCAGAAATTCGTGTTAAAGAACAAAATACATATGAATGGTTGAGTGAAAAGCTCATTTGCTTTGTAACTTTCACTCAAACTACACATTTTAAAACAATTCAGGTATGCAACAAATAAGCTGTTCCCCCATCCCCCCGTATTTTATTTTGTTAATGTTGAGAATATATAGAACAAAACACACCAATCCAGCTGTCCCTACGCGGAAACCTCAGCGGCATCAGTTGCGGTCTTTATTGGGCAGCCGGCCGCACCCTCCTCCTCTGGGTTGTTCCTCCCCTGTTAACATGAGTGCACTGCCTCAGAGGGTCCCCAGTGACCTTTCAAGTGGCTGTTGTCATGTCAGTCCCCTGTAGAGCATTCTGCACAAGGCCAAACCTTCCCCTGCCAGTTAAAACCAGGGCTTAGTTTTAAGGCTTTATGGGATACTTTGGGTTAAGATTTAAGAAGATGTCAGGGCAATGTTTTCAGGGATCCCTCCAGCCTCTATGGCTCCAGAAAGTTGACTCACTGAGAATGTGAAATTCTGTTCAGCGTTTTCCCCCTTTTGGCCGGGCTTCTCCTATAGAATTTTTGATCAGAATGTTCAGTGATAGTAGAACCCCGAGACTATAGGGCCTTTAGTCACCCTGTGAGCCTGGCACTACACTGACTACCTCCGTGGCTCAACTTTGAGCCAAACAGTGGACAAGCCTCTAAGGTGAACCATAACACCAATGAGGTGTTTATTCCTAGAATCACACAAGATCAAAATGTATTTTCTCAGAAAACTCAGAAAGCAGGACACGGTAGGATAGAAGGATGGCTGGAAATGGGAATCACAGGGAAGAAGTGGGATGTATGCTGTTGCATTGTAGGGACTGTAATTAATGCCGTAAGTCAACAGTTGTATGACTGGATGGAAAACTCATTTGCTCTGTATGTAAGTTTTCACTCCAGGCACAATTAAAAAATGTATACACACAGACATACACAGTATAAAACATACTTTCAGCAGTGATAGCCCAGCCCCATCCAGTTCTTTCTGGCATTAACTAGAAAATAGTGTTGTTGCTGCTGCTGCTGTTGTTGTGTGCTGTCTGGTCAGAACCAACTCCGGGCTGATCCAGTGGGCTTTCAGATGCAGTAAATCGATCAGGAAGATTGATCACCCTGGTCCCCCATTGCAGCTGTGGATTCAAACCGCGTGCCTGTGGGATTGCACAGAAGCACTAAACATGTTATTTAGCCAGTTAACTAGGCTGTCTCATGGAATCCGTGACCCTACACCTCCAAACTGAAGACCCAAATTCCATGAGGTGTTAGATGTGCACAAACAGCTTCAGCAGGTACTGTTTGTTACAAAATCTATCACACAGCTTTTGACAAGTCGGCTTTTTACAGACACCCCAGGTTGTGAGGGCGGCACAGGATAAAGTGAGGTTCAGACCTTGTTGATAAGCTCGCTATGAGACATAGGTGACGCACTTAACAATTTATTAACAGCATGTATCAATTTGATTTTTCTATCCCCATTAACTGTTCCCTTTCCCCCCCTCTCCCAGCTCTCATAATCATTGATAAACTTTGGTCTGTCTGTCTCTTTTTAAAAAAAAAAAAATTATATGTGAGGTTAGGCATTTGGCTTTCTCTGATTGATTTCAGGTGTCTTCAAGCGTGGTTTTTATTATGGGATGTATCTACTTCATTCCTCCTACAGCTGTGGACTCCATGTATGTGTGGATCGCCTTTTGTTCATTCCTCTGTGATCGGCATTTAGGTTTTTCTACCTTGTGGCTGTTATGAACAATGCCTCAGTGAACACGGGTGTACAAGTTCCTACCTTCAGGTCTTTCAGATGGATATATACTTACTAGCAGAATTGCTGGGTCATATGGTAGTTCTAACAAGTTTAATACTAAAGAGCAATGATGGCAATCTAGATACTAAGGTGCACCTGACCCAGGCCATGGCCTTCTCAATTGCTTGTTGTGCATTTGAAAGCTGGACAATGGCTAAAGATGACAGAAGAAGAACTGATGTCTTTGAGTTGTTCTAGAGAAGAGTACTGAATCTATAATGAATTGTCAAGAGAACAAATAGGTCTGTCCTGGAGAAGGTGAAACCAGTTTGCTTGTTGGAGGCAAGGATTTTGAAACTCCTTCTCACATACTTAGGTCTCCAGGAGGGACCAGTCTGTGGAGAAGGGTAGAGGGACTGTGCAGAAGAGGAAGACACTGGATGACGTGGATTGACATGGGGACTGTGGCAGTGGGGTTAAGTGTGTCAGAGACAGGTTGGCTCAGGATAGGGCACGGTCAGAGCCGTTGTTGCAGGGTTCCTTTGAGTTGTGATTGACTCGATGGCACATAACAGCAACATGGTGGTTCTGGAGGGACCTGAAGTGATTCAGTAATTGAAGTGCTTGACTGTTAACCAAAAGGTTTGTGGTTCATACCCACGATCTGCTCCCATAGTCTGCTTCAGTGAAATGTCCAGCCTTGGAGACCCTTTGGGGGCAGCTGTACACTGTCCTGTAGGGTCACCATGGGGCAGGCTCCGCTAGAGTGCTGTCAGTTTGGGTGGTGCTATTTTCTTTTTTTTTAAAACTGCTACTTCCCACAAGGGCCAGTTTGCATTCCCACCCGCAGTGAGTAGGGATTGAGGCAGTTAATTTTAACAAGAGGATCATCTACTTGTTTTCTAGAAGAGGAACCGGGATCAGAGAGGAGCCGTGAAGTTACACTTAACTAGAGAAGATAGGGTAGAGAACTAGGAAGGCTGTCTCTCTGCAGACCATCGAAGGGCAGGTGAGGCAGCTGGGGGAGGTAGAGTAAGGACTGGTAAGAGGTGAGGTTTCAGCGCGGTCACTCGTACTCCCTGTCCCGCCTGCCCCCCTGTGGTAAATGTCCGAGTGCCTCTCCTGTCCGCGTGGCCTTTAAGGCCCGGCGAAGGCGTGTCCATCGCGGAGATCCCGCCCTTGGGCGTGTCCGCTGCAGCCCCGCCCCTCAGGCTGGCGGTTAAAACTCCGGGAGGCGGCGCCCGCCCCTGCTCGGCAGGCGCGCTGGTGGTTCCGCGGGGTCTTCGCGCGCGTCCTCTCGCCGGAGGCGTCCGTGCACGCTGCCGGGTGGCGCGGACACGAGGGGGAGGCATGGCCGGGGTCCGCGCCCCGCGCCCCGGCGGGC